GACTTATGTAGAAATATGAAATAAAGTGTATGTACGTCCACACGTCTGTGTGTGCACAGACACAGACACACAACGCTAAATAATGTGTCTTCCTACTTTAACATCCAACTTGGGGAGCTCTACTCATTCCGGGCCTGTTTTTCTATATATGGAATCTATACACAGAAGTAGGGATATACGGTTATTGAGAGTCTCACTCTTTAATAATCTGCCACTTGGTGATCTGAAGCAGTTAATACACTTTCTAAAGACCCGACTTTGTGTCAGTGCATCGTTTATAAACAAAAAAGTAATGTCCAAATACTCTGACAGAATTCCAAACATTGCAGAGTTATTTGAAAAATACTTTTCAATAACTTTCCAAGTAAAATGTGCATTTAATTTAAAGCTACTCTGTTTTGAATTTCTAAGGATTTTCACAGAACTGAATGGTATATGCTAAATTTCGAAAAGGTCTGTCTCCTTAGGCATATTTTAGAGTTGGAGAATTTTGTAAAAAATATACTAATGGCTCATTACTATTGTAATCAAAATGCTGATTCACTGTTACACAATTTAAATTATATTTTAATTTTACCTCACACCTGGTAGGAATTATAACTCAGATTGAATTATATATGTGTTTGAAACATATGAGATTATGTTTTAAAGTGGGGTGTATGGAGTATGAAGGTAAATTGAAAATTATCCTTAAATATCTTCAGTGTGTATGTTGATCTTAATTTCAAATCTTAAAGCAACAATTTCAATATTTAACCGACTTCCAAAGCATTTCCTGAGTATATTATTTTGTATGTTAGTGAAATTAGTGTGCAATTTCCTTTGTTAAAAAGTTTCCCTTTTCCCTCCGCACAGTGAATATGGCCACAAGCAGGCTAATAGGTGCCGTGGCCGGCACCATTCTGGCCCTGGGGGTGATTTTTGGAGGCACAGGGTGGGGAATAGAGTAAGCATCTTTGTGAGTTAAGAGTGTTTCTGTGTGGTGCCTGGTGTGTGAGATGACAGTTGTACCTGACCCCTCTGTGTTTTGTCCCATTGACCGTGTTTCCTGTGGTAGTGCAACTTGTGGTGTGATTTGGATGTGTTTGTGTCTTGTGGTTTTCTTGTGTCATGTAGAACCTTCTCCTGTCTGGAACAATGTGGGGCATAAAATAATGTTGGGGGTGCTTATGAGAACTTCACAATTAAGGCAACAGTCCCAAAACTTCCACTGCTCCTCCACTTTGTAAAAGTAATTTTAAAATACTTCTTTTAAAAACCATTTATTGGCAGAAATGCTTCTATGTGAGTGTTTTCATAGGATTTTTATAATAAATTTAATCTTCATCAGTTAAAAAAATCCACATACACAACTAGGAATTATCAACAGTTGTAGCATCTTTTAAAGTTAATAAGAATGATAGCCACTAATGTTTTCTTGGTTTATTTAGAATGATATAGGAGGCTTCAGCTTAATTTTTTTAAAAGAAGATATTTAGGATACTTTACTTTTTCTTATAAAATAGGTTAATACTCAAAATCAAAGTTTACATAAATATTTGGAAGCAAGGAGCATTAAGAATGAAAAGATATTTAATCTGAACCTGCTCAACCTTAAGCAAACAACTACAGATCACCTGGTGGGTCTGTCTTAAAAGTAGCCAGTGTATAAGCAAATATATCGTGTGTCAATTACTTTTAAGCTCTCACAGAAATACAGCCCTCCTGGTGCCTTTGTTTAGATGTCTCTGTACTTGGACCACATCCTCAGAATAGCTGTCAGTTCTTTATGGGATACTGGTTCATGAGCTTGCTAACCTGTGGACTAAAAGATTACCATGAGTTTTTCCTCTCTAATCACAAAGAGAGCATTTATGAATGACAGAAATGGCTCTTCACACAGTCTTTTCTCTTTATTATGGTGGTGGTGGTGGTAACACTTCAGGTGGCTCAGGAATGAGTTACTAATGTCTTAAGGAATCACCAGATAATCTTTACTCAACCAGCCCAAGTCATGGGCATGTTGACAATATCAGACATATGCCTCCTTAGTCCCATTAGTTGGAACACATGGATGCTCTTCTTACATCCTGGAATTGGGAGCTCCGGGCACAAAAATAGCACTAAGAGGGGATCAGGTCCATAGGTCACGTATTGTGTTGAACATGACGTGAACCCTTTCTTCCCTGGATTCAAGGACTTCTGCCAGACTTGGATCTTCCCACTCGTGTCCAATCAGTATGGACTGTAAAGCTAGTCAGCACAGAGGAAGCTGGAAATACTAAGAAAGAGATTTTATTTCTCCTTATGTGTTGGAAAATAAAGAATATAACAGAGGTAAAATATTTAGACACAAGAACTTTGTCCTTTGAAATTTCACATTGGGTCTGTTGAGATTACATACAGGAGGAATATTCCTTTTCTGGGGGCAATTCTATACATACATTTAGGTGAAATTTCTCCTTGAAGAATAGTAGTTTTCTGAAAATTATCCCAAATACATGTTTTTACATTATTTATTGTCCATAACGGTGTCTTTAAATGTACTAACTGAAGGGATGAATTTTGATAACCCTTCCTTTGAGTCTTAGAGATAGGTAGAATCAAAAAGGTCTTTGTTGTAAAACATAGTCCTTGTTACCAGCATTCGTTGTCACTCATCATTTCTAGTGTTCTTGGTTTGTGTGACTATTTCTG